TGCCATGTCCCTTCTGACCCCTTCTCTCTGCTACTCCCCACAGAACCCCCTCCCCAGCCGGCGCTCAGTGTGGATCCCCCGTCCGGAGTGGTGAGCGAAGGGATCCACCTGCTCATGACCTGCACGGCCCCCAGGGACGCCGGTCAGCGGAGGTTTCACTTCTACAAGGACAGAGCCGAGCTCATCCCTGGGGACGTGGGGTCTGAGATCAACACGACAGAGCCCAGGACTGTCTCTATGAACACCTCTGTGCTCAGAATCCCGCTGGACAGTTCAAACAACACCGGGGAATTCAGCTGTGGGTACGAGGAGAATGTGGGTGGGAGATGGATCCCGTCCCCCAGGAGCCAGGCTGTGACTGTCGCCGGGAACGTCACAGTGTCAGGTGAGGTGGCTCTTGGCTGCTAACATCTCCTCAGAAAAATTCACCCTCCTAACCCCACATACTGGTGCCCAGAACCCTTGATTTCCAAATGAGGACAGGGCAGGTCACAGGGGTGCTGGAGGACAGGCTGACAGGAGAGGGACAGACACACAGATGGGAAGAATCAGAAATTGGTGTCCACCAGTGTGAGAGGGAAGGGCTGTGGGTGGGTTTCACATCTCAGCTGGATGGCTTCTGAGATCCAGGGGAGTTAGTCACAAGTCTTAGAGGCACAGACACACGGACATCATATGCATCGCGCTCAGCAGGGATGTTAACCTGCTGGTTCCATACGAGCTTCTCCTCTCTCTGCAGCTCGAACCTTCCTCTGGGTCCAGGAGCTGGCAGTAGGTGGCTCCTTCTTCCTCATTAATGGTCTCATCTTCCTCGGCTCCCACTGCTGCTTCTAGATCCAGGTAACTGGCTTCCTCTGTGAAGGGGGCCTTTCATTCTGTGTCTTGGATTCTCTCCACAAGGTGACCCGTTTGATCTGCAATCTCTCCCCTTGAATTACAGCCTGGAGGGGGAGGTTCTCCTGAAAAGTCCAAGAGTGAGGTCTGAGAAACATCCACAGGGTTTCAAAGGGTTTTAAGCACCATGAACGCTTCAGCAACCAACCAAAAAGAAGCTGTATCTGGGGTGGGGCACCGTCACTGTTTCACAGCTTCACAATCCTTGTGCACAGAATTTGCTTGCCCAGTGTGAACCCACGCAGCCCTGTATTCACACCCTACACACAGCTGCAATGACCTATACAAACTCTGCCTTGTGAGGTATCATTTGAAAATCCCACTACACTGGTCAATAATATCACTGCAGAGTATAGGTGAGAACGCTGAAGGTGGAGATGTGGCCAACCTCCATGAGTCTGTTTTAAAGTCTGTATTTGAACAAAGGAGAACCAGGTCTGCCCAGGACTTGAATAGAAATTAATCCGGGTGGCCAATGACAAGAGAATTAGGATGTACATTGGTGGTAAACAAAGTAATCAAGCCACCAAGGACAAGAGGTGATGACTCAGATATTGACAGGGCGAGAGAAGGGACCCCCAGGAGACCTTCCTTCCTGAAGCAGGCTCAATAAACATAGAGAGACATGCTCTCCTGGACGATACAAAGAGGGGCAGTAAACCTCCAAATTCTCTTCCCCCTAAGACAACAAGGGAAACCAGCACCTCGCACTTCCCAGGAAAGTCAGGATCGAGAGCCAGGCCAGACCAAGAGTAACCGGAAAGTGAAATCACCTTCAACACAGACCGTGCCTTGCTACCTTGAGTTTTAGCCTTTCAGCTGTGTGTCTTCCCTTTGATTTACTTGTAACCAACTCTAACTGTGTTTCTTTTTATTTGGAATCTCTTAACCCATGGCATCTTGTTAATATACTTGGTTTATTCTAATCTAAACCAACCCAGGGCTGGATTTTAATTCAAGTCACTGGTAACTCCAGTTAACGTGGCGAGCAGCTGAAGTTTGTCTCTTAAACGGAGCAAATGACCACTATTATTTCTCTGGATGCTGCACGAGAGGGCTGGACATTTCAGGGCAGGTGGTTTGGGGGAAATGCAGACCGGGGTGTGTGTGTTGGGGTTCCTTTCCTAGCAGTAACCGAGGCTGCTGGGGACCAGGGCACGGCGGGATGTATCAAGCAGGCTGCTGGAGTTGGTGTTGCTAAACCATGGCTGTTGATCGCAGACACTCAGTAAATGCTTGTCTGCTAGCTCGGAATGTGCAGACACGGAGCTGCAGCACTGAGCGTTTCAGGGCACCCAGGAACACAGGGCAAGTGGTTTTGGATCAAACCCCAAAACATGACACTCAGCCCCCATGCTGTAGGCATAGCAGCTTTTGCGCCATGTCAGTGAGCAGCGATCCCAGCCAACATTGACCCATCCAACCCCCCGCAGTGTAGGACACCGGAGCTGTTATAAAAAGGTGCAGACCTTTATCCATGAGCTCAGCAGAGTGAGATTTCTGTGCCCAGTGGAAGAGGAGGTGGGAATTTTGGGGACAAGAATGACACATGTGAAAATCCAGTGGGTATTTAACAATCCTGCATCTTATTAGTTTCTGTGCACACCTCCCACAAGGTGACAAGTCCAGCAGAACAATGCACCCTAAGGAGACACTCACACCCCTTCCTGAAGCAAAGCCCCCACTCCCCTGGCAGTGCACAGGGCATAGCAGCCAGCACTGCCTGCCAGGGGGGAGCACCCCCTGCTAATCCCCTGCCTTGCTCCCTGTGCCACCCATGGCACCCCCAGGGCAATACAGTGAACATGGTTGGGGTCACCCAGTCTTGCTGAGCATGAGAGATTAGAGTGGATCACAGCTCACAAGGCAGGACATTGTGGGAAATGGAGTCCCAAGAGTTGGTGACCCTTCATTGCTCCTTGTGCTACTGTCTTCCGGGGATTGCAAGAGGCCCACAGGCAGAGCCCACAGCGGCTCTAGGAGAACAGTGACATTCTCTGGCACCCTTCATCTCTGTGACACTCCATTGGATTGACTGAAGGTTCATGATAAAGAGTTGTCTCTGGTCCTCCCTTTTGTTCTTTTCAGGCAGCCAGCAGGGGGACTGGGAACCAGGTCTCCTGGGCTCTATTCCGGATGCTGTGAGTGGTATTGAGTCTCATGGGTTTGAGCAGAGGGGAACTCAGAGTCAGAAAAAAACTGTTCTAATTCCAGCTCTGGGAGGGAAGTGGGCTCCAGTGGGTTGGAGATGGGAATAACACAGTTACTCCGCCTTCAGTTAACCTTCTTTCCAGCCCACTTTGGTTGCTGTTCTCTTCTATCCTTTTTCCTACTGTAAAATGT